TGTTATCATGAAACACCGAAACAAATGAAAAAGTGCGTAAACACGATGTTATTGGGGAGACGTCATCAACGAATAGGCGCCTAAAGGTACACAGATTTGAAAGTGGACTACATAGAGTATGTCGATGATAGAGGGACTGGCACTTCGAGATCAATTTTGTACTTTAGAAAAAACCATATAAATCCATCCTCGACGATGTCACCGCGTAGCTCACTGGAAGCTGCTCTCCTGGCTACGAATACAAACTTGTTTGAGCAGATACTCAAAACCTCAGAAGAGATGGTAAGTTAGTTTTTCGCTTCTTCAGAAACCGATTATCCAATCAGTCCAACAACCAGAGCTAGTTTCAGAAAGCCTTTGCCTTGGCAGTCTGCATTTATCTGTTACAAGTGGCTCTCGCGTCTGAAGCAGATGTCCTTGGTTTGTCTTTCCATTTTGCTTTCACCAGCTAACACACTTCTGAATTATTGACCTTCACTTGCAGAAGCACTGAAAAACCAGGAAACCTTACCGGAAAACGCGAATCTAACCGATGAGGAGCTCGTTCAGTATCTCAAGACGCACCAGACACTATACAATGTAGGGCACAGTCTACCGTAGTCCCAGATAATATTGAAATAGTTCATGTCTATTTGCAGGTTACCGAAAGCCGGTAGACCACATCTACGAGGAAGTCACAATGCATCTGACTCCGGAGCCGCAGAACAGAGTTCGAAGGTCTTATATGAGGCGGAGCAGGCCCCGATTCACTAATCCTAGACTTTTTCCCATAAGACCAACGGGAAAAGACAACTTCAGTGATATCCCCGAAAGGTTAGTCATTACATTACACCTCGAAAAAGCGCTCTCACACCTTGAAACTGGAAACGTCACCAACCTCGAAACACACCGAACTTGAGAGAGATTAGGACAGATTTGAGCGCCAGCGCCTCGGAAATGAAAGTCAGAGAGATAAGGATTGTCAGCAAAGAAAAAAACCAAAATTTTTCCGCAAAAAAAAAACGGGCGAAAAAGCCATAAGATTTTGCTTGCTGGTATAAGGGCGAGGCGAGAGACGAAACACTACCACATTGTCTTAAGGACAGTGGACGCTAAGTCGAGAGAGAAACTCAGACTTGGACGAGCGCATGGAGAAAAGAGACGCAGATATTCCGTGCATTCGCACCACTGTGTGTGAACTTTTGCCTGTGGGTGTGCAACGATACAAGCCATAGGCCTCCGCCACCCGTTTATGCCCCAAAATCAACGCAATCTGCAGGCGGGGGGGGGGGGGAAAAAAGCAATTTTGCCTGCACACTTCGGCCATTTTTTCCGATAGATTTTTTTCCACCGTAGTGGAAGGGAGGTATTCCATGAAAGTTCCTCTGTAAGTCAAAGCGGGCCCTCCTTCACTGCCCTTCACCGTCTTCAAAATATGACGTCATCGTACCGTAACTGCTTCTGCCTGAGGCTCTTAATTTCGTGAACTTATTCAATGTTGGTTAGCTTCCTAGAGACAATAGCTTCCGCTCTGCGAGCCCCCTCAAGACTCGCTTTTCAGTAAGGTCGTTATGGTACACGATCCTTCGAAGACCCCATTGAGCTCGACCAGTGCACCATGTTTCCAGGGCAAATTTTTCTGATGCCGTCCACGTAGGTGGCCACTATGAAGATTTTCTTATAGAATGAAATGCGCTCTTCAATACTAAGTTGGGACCATTCGGTTTGAATTGAGCAAAGTGTGATTAAATCCATCTGAAGTGGAGACAAAATGTCTTTTTTTATTGCCCCCCCCCCGTATTCATGCGAACTAGCCACCTATTTCGGAGAATATTCACACATTTAGTTAATCGTGGACTACACCTTTATGGACAGCGATCGCGCTGGCTGAGAGGTGGAGACGAGACGGATACATCATTAGGTAGAAAGACGTGGTGGGACGGTCCAACGACCGCACTTCAACCAATGACGACCCTCTACGCCGGTGGCGTACGTGCTCAACTCGTCCCCACGTCTCATCCAGCGTAACCGCTGCCTTTAGTCCTCAAACTGCGACTTCTAAAAAATAAAGTGGTGATTTCCCACGAATTCTAGAATTTCATCGCCAAATTTCCTAATTTCCATTTTTTTCCAATTTCCCACAAAAAATGCCTATGTCCATTACTAAAGGGCAGAAGGTGTCGAAAAACGTGTGGCATTATGACAGAATACGGTGTCACCCTGCTGTTCGAGTGCTTCGTGCGTGCGTACTGTACCATCCGGTATTTCCACAGTGAAAGCATCCCTACTGTGCGTTTACGCGTGCTTGAGTATATTATTTACAGAACATCTAGGTAAAGAAGATTTCCGCGATGAGGTCTAAGGTCGAAGAGGGGAAACTCTCCTAGCGGACACGCGGACCGACACGCAGTCCACGGGGAAGGATATGTCCCCGGCGGTTCAGGGTGGCCCTCCCCGGGACTCCATCGGCACGGCACGCCAGGCTAGCCTCCCATCACAGGTCTCTGGCCGTTTCGCAGAGAGAGAGAGTGTGTGTGTGTAGCTTGAACAGGGCAGCACCAATAAGGGTTGCAGCAATGCGGAATCCAACGACAGGGGACCTATTTCTGACCCCCTTCCATGTCGTTGGATTCCGTATTGTGCCAGTGCCATTCATGCCATTATGCCAGTTTCGAACTGGGCCTCATGGGTGGGAGACACTCAGGAATGCATGAGCATTTTCATTTTTCTCATCAGAGTCCTTGCCGCTTCCTATGATTATTCCCAGGGCCACAGGAAATTATTTCTCTGGTACACAATGGCGTAGGAAGGAAATTGTTACTAGTTGATAACTCTGCAGGACTCATGACGGAAATGGAACCAAAACAGTTCCCACGTACCCTCGGATGCGAGACAAGAGTCCCCCTGAGGTCGCCGCGCAAGCGAAAGTAGGTCACCGCACGCGGCGGCTATCTACCATATCCAGCTTGAAACGTATCAAGTTGCTAGGACTAAGCTGAAACAAATGCAGGAATGGGGCCTACACAGAGGGAACAGGAAAGCGTTGTATCGATCGTCTGGAGAGGGGTCCTGAACTCGGCAAATTGCAGAAACACCGGCGACGTCGCGCGCGGTGACCTAGTTTTGGCGCGGCGGTCGCGGGGGACTCTTGACCGTCTCCCCGTAGGTACAGCTGTCTCTGCCCCGCCACCCACCCTCTCTCCCTCTTCTCATTTTTATCACATACCACTAGCCTGACCACCAGCCGATCGAGTCTCTATTCTCAAATAATTCTCAAAAGATTTTTGCAACGAATCCACTCCAAAATGCTGACTTTATAAGAGATCGCAGTAGTGTTCTCAGGTTGCTGTCCGGAATGAGATTAATAGATTTGCAGGTTTGATGCTCGGGAAAGATGGCCCAACTGCCCGTCACTCTTCCAGATCGTGGATCAAGCAGGTTGCGGTGAGTAGATCTCAAATCTTCGACAGCACAGAAATATGACCTCCTTGTGAGAGCAGTTTGTGATACTCTCTTCCAAGTTGCTATGCAAGCAGAGGTAGGGTAAAAGCTAACGATAAGAATATGTAAAGGACTCATTTGAAGTGGATTTTTGGTAAGGACGTGTGGACGTACTACACACAACACTTCCTGCATATCCAATTTTCCCCACCAGGCCATCCACCCTGTAGCTCCTCCACCCTTAAGGCCGATGTCAGACTTTGCGAATCGAGTTTCGCTAGCGTCCGCGGTCGCGTTGCGGTACCAGCCAATTGAGTGATTCACTGGCCGCGACGCGACCGCAGACGCTAGCGAATCGCGCGATTCGCAAAGTCTGACATCGGCCTTAGGCAGAAGCGAAGCTTTCCAATCCCCGTGATGTGGGGCAGCTTCCTTGGACCATTACAGCCCGAACTGTGAAAGCACCTTAGGAGTACTTCTACAGTACACCGATATTTATCAGAAGTGCACTTCAAATGATCGATTACGTGTCACGAACGCTCCCATTCTTACCCAGGTATTGAATAACGCAATGCAGCGCCACCCTCCCACTGACCGCATTTTCACCGTAGCTCACTGTGAGGCTTTTTAGGCTCGTGCTGGGCGCTCTCAACGGCATCCGCAATTTCGGATCGACTTTGTATCAACACCAAAGGAGCTTTAACGGTAAAACAGCGTGGGTTGATAGACAACCAGATGTGAGTTTATCAGTTGATTTCAGGTGAATATCTCAGCTGAGGATCTCTTGACATGCTGCAAAACATGTGGAGCATCTGATGGGTGAGTTTTTCTGATATCCTCAAACCTCTACTGGTCTCAATCATTATGATGAAGAAGAGGCGCAGGATGATGCGTAATAACTTATGCTCACTCACTTGGCCGTGAACACGAAAGCTGGAAGGTGGAGCTGTTTTTTGACTGCGACATTGAACGTAATTGGTTTACTAGACTCCTCAGCACGTTGCGGAGTGTGACTTGGGACCATCTTCTACCTTCCAACATCCTTCCATCAATCACGCTCACTACGTAATCAACATCGCGCCGCCCTCAAGTCATCATACCCAACCCCTTCAACTAAAACGCAGTAAGCTTCGATAAGTTGCTACGTGAAACGGCGTGATGAAAAGCACCCCTGAGCAAGAAATCACATGAAACGCTCGGGTACGGTATCGAAAAGCACCCCTGAGCAAGAAATCACATGAAACGCTCGGGTACGGTATCGAAAAGCACCCCTGAGCAAGAAATCACATGAAACGCTCGGGTACGGTATCCCTTTGGACACTTAGTACCTTTGTTGGAAGAACACCCTAGCAGTCTTGTCTTACTCGCTCGCCTCACAATGCATCACTAGTCACACCTATGTTGGTGTAATTTCTACTGGCATTTCTTATTTGTTATTGTCCTGAAGACAGAAGACACTGATATTAACCAATATTTATTAGTTAGAAGTTGATTTTAACTTTATTTACCAGTTAATATCTAATTCGGAACTGTGTTTGGAGTCCCTCGAGCCGGCAAGAATTTTGATTCCAAGCCGAAGTGCTGCTGAAACTATTGCGAATAAACTGAAGCAGGGATTTGCAAATGGCAGCTTCAGAATAGTTACGGGAGGAATGGATTCAATCAATGAAAGCTAATATTAATGCGAAGTTGCAGTCCTTGAGGGGACTAACAGGACGTGAGTCATCGTGGGAGGATTATACACAGCAGGGTGGGGGGCGAGGGGCAAAAAAGGAGTCACTCTCCTCCACAAT